ATGACACTATATTTTGTTTATTTAAAATACTATGTAGAGAATAATAAAAGGTATAAGAAACTTGCAATATGGTTTTGTTAAAAAAAAATGTGTTTAGAACACACAAAAAATAATAATAAATTTAGGGATCAGAATGATAGTCAAAATCAAGATTGTTTAATTTAATTTTTTAGCAAATGCAATGCTTCAAAAAAAAATTTACCTCATCATGATATTCAGATTTTAATGGAAATGTTTTTTAAAAAAAAAGTGTTTGGAGAACAATGATAAGATTCATTTTCAAGTTGTTCAAACAGTAAAATTTTCATACACCCAATATTATGATTCTATATATTATGCTATTATCTAATAGGAAATTCGCAAACTGGATCAGTATCTATCTGGAAGCAATATTAAGCAACCTTTTGGTGTAGAATTGTTACACTAATTGCTCCAAAACTGTCACAAAGAATTTTCAGCAACAAAAGAAAACTATTTTTATATTTTTAATGTTTAAAAATAAAAAAGATAAAAGTTACAGCGTTTTTTTAAAATTTATTTTTAATTTATTTCTTTTTTAACTAATGTCCTGGTTTCCTAACCGCTACCAGCAGAATTTATAACGCTTTCAAGAATTTAACATCAGAGGAAATTTTAACCAGTTCCTGTTTAGCTAGAATGCTTAAATGTTACCTGGTACCCCACGCTAGATGACAATAAAAGTCCTGACAGCTACAAAATTTTATATAACCTTAAAAAAATTTAATGTCAGTCAAAATTTTGACCAGTTCCAAAGGGCTAGAACATTCAAATTTGAACTAGAGCTCTGTGCTAGCAAGGAAAATAAATAATAAAAAGGTTCAAATGTTAATGACCACTACAAGAATTTATATCGCTTAAGAAAAGTTAACCGCAGTCGAAATTTTGCCAAATTCCCGACAGGCTAGTCTTTAAATTTTAACTGACACTCTGGGATAAAAGGGAGAAAAGCTTTAACTCTTTGCAGTCGCATTAAGTTTATACATAGGGGTCGTGCTGATCGGAATTAATGAACTTATACACAATTTATAAAAAAATAATTCGAATTCTCCGTATCTCTGAAGTTTGTCGACTTAATATAAAATCAGTACGGTTCTTTGCTGTGTTGGCTGAAAGCAGACATACGATCGCAAAAATTGTCTGAATGCAAGAATTCATATCGCCATTAGAAATTTAACGCCAGTCCAAATTTTGACTAACTAACTGGCAAAAATGTCATAATTTTGCTTTGCTCTAGATGGCAATAAAAATTTCAATCATTGCCTGACCACCACAAATACAATTTATCCCTACATTTTTGTTAAAGAAAATTAATAGTCATTTAGATGTTCGGCCACAGTTAAGAGATTTTAATACTAAAATGGAGCTTTGTACAAGATAACAGAACCACTTTTAATCGTTCCTGAACTGCTAAAACAGGGTGCACAGCCAAATCTTTCAACAAAAAATAAGCACATTTTAAGTACTTTTTGAGAACTAAAAATATCTTTTTAAGCATTTTATACATGCAATGCAAAATAATTTTCAAATGATCATGATAAAATAACCAGTTTCTGATTAAGAACTCTTTTCTTGATTATATTAGCCACCATACATTGAGATTTTTCGGTCTGATTTCAGAGGGTGAAAAGTGAAGCCTGAAATTGGGAATATCTTGCAAAATGCAGAAGAGTTGCACACGAGAGTGCAAGAATCTCACAAAATCAAGCTCAGTCGACACACATACTTCATTGAACATGTAAAATGATTATAGCTTTCGTACGCTATGGACAAATAGTAAGCCGAAAGGCATTGAGTTTGAATGAATCGTAAACATGTTGAATAAAACTATGTAAAAATTACTCTTTTGCATAATATGTGACGAAAATAGACATGGTAAAGACAATACAATTTGAGCTTTTATTGGTTTATAAAGAAGAATAGAGACATCCTATCCTGCTCTTTTTGTAATAGGCAAACAATTTTGTGTTGAATTAAAATGCTTCGAAAACAAACTTAATTTTAATTTGCACTACTTAAATTTTTTTTAAAAAATGGAAAAATAAACAGTAAATTTAATAAATAGAGATCGCTCCTCAGACTCTCTCAATCGTATAAGCTTTATCTACGCAAACACAATTGATAGTAACATCACATTTGCAGTTATCATCGATGCTGGTAAGAAAAAAAATTTCAGCAAAAACAGGTGTAGATACCTTAAACTATTAAAATATTATTGAATTAGATCACTAAAAGGTTTACATTTTTCCAAAACTGACTCCGTTATACATTGATTTTTCGCAACATTTTTATAATTAATGAAGTTAATGCGGGTTAAATAGTCCACGGAACCAATCCACGGAAGAACAGTAAAAGGATTTTAATTTAACAGTATGTATAGCTTTATTGTTTTTACGAGACTGACACCGGTTTGCACTTGTTTACATTCGTGTATCAATTGGTTAAATTAGACCATATATGTGTGTGTATATATACACACATAAATTGGATAAACTAAACTAAAAATATAGAATTTATATATCAGGTATTATATTAGTATATTATAATAATTAGATCAAATTATTAGATGCACTGTAGTTTTTTAATTACATGTTTTGCATGAGTTTATATGCAATACTTTTATATCTAAACATACATGCAGGGGTCTGTTAATAAGAAATTTGGGTCCATTAACGAACCCTTCACAAACTGATTTTTCTTTTAATCGGACCCTCCACAAATTTGTTTATCTTCATTATTGTTTTTTTAATCGAATAAACCCTTCCCAGGGCAGAAAACAAGATGGATGTAAACGAATTGAGTTTAGTCTTCGGCAGACGATTCTATCATTATTCGTCCGAAATGAATATTCTGCGTTCAGCAGTATACACCAAATATTTGTATGTTACACCTCTAATTTAGAAGCAGCAATTGATGTTCATGTTTGAAAATTTAATTATTATTATTATAATTTTTCAGTGCCGAGCATAAGTTCTTATCTATTTGCAATTTAAAAACTCCTTGAAAAAGTTTTTTGCAATAACCGGACCCTATTTGCACAAATTCATAAAAGCGGACCCTGGTTGAAAAAATGTAATTCTTTCACAATTTCACGAAAACCAGACCCTTCACAAAATGTCTGGACAGACCCCTGACATGTAATTTGTTTTTATTCTTAGTGGATATGATTTTTATTTACTGGGATTGCAGATTTTTCATATACTTCCCATTTTTATTTATTATTTATGTATTGCATTACAATGTTAACCAATTGATACTTTAATGCAAACAAGTGCAATACAGTTTCAGCAGAGTAAAAACATAAGCTGTATAGTATCACATGATAATCAAGATTCTACATTTAAACTTGTAGCGGGTCTAATAATTTGGCCAGGGACTGTATATACTATTTAGTCTAAAGAAATCTAAAATTTCAAACTAATATGCATCACACTTTATTATATCACTAATTCAGTGATATAATTTAGTAATGAAAAAAAAAAAATAATTCTGAATTTTTTGAAAATCTTAACACTGCATTGATAGTGACTTTTCAGATATTTAAAAATTAAATTTTAAGGTCAATTCAATAAAACATTTTTAATGAAAAATTTTTTATAAATCACATACATCTTGCAGATTGAAAATTTAATATTTTGGATCAAATTTTATGATTAAGAAAGATTTATCTAAAGAAATAATGGCTAGTGCTTGGACTGAAACAGCAAAAAAAAAAAATTTTTAAAAATCCTAGTATAATTAACATACTATAATACATCAATTAAAAATTTATTCAATGGCAACTACTTTTAAAGCTTATGAAATAGGTAATGCATAGTGAAATTTGCAATACAATTCACAAATACAATGTTATAAATTCAGCGGTTAATTCGTACTAATTAAAAAAATTAGATGAAAAAACTAAATATTTTAGCTATACTGTTTTCTAATATTTGATATTGCTTTAATACAGTTTACTCTCAAAACTTGTCAATGAAAAAAAAAAAATTCCCCATTCGCATGAAATATTTACCTAATTTTAATTTGACTTTCTATGTCGAAGATTTCTACTTAAACCTTGTTAGGAAAAAAAATAAAAAAGAATTTTTTTGGAAAAAATCCTGAAATCCTTTAAATTTAACACATAATTATTTTTCGTCCCACTTTAAAAAAAAAAATATTATATTTAGACTTATAGTAAATAATCATTACATGCATATACATGACATTTCTCACATTTCATAACTAATTTTAGAGAGAAATATTTTAGAATATATTTTCTACTTTTAGAACATATTAAATTCTCAACCACTTATTTTAAATTTTTTTTTTTTTTTTGCATCCCTTTAACTTTGAGATCAAATGCCATGGCTATCAGAAATATAATATACTTACTTTTCCAAATATGGCACTGGTTGTTAAAATACACAAGCATTGCATATTTAAAATTGTAACTGCAAATAGTTTAACTGATACATTTATAGCATATTAGTATATTTGCTGATTCATTCAAATCAGATATCAGAATTTTGATTGATTGCTAAAAAATCATATTAAAATAAAAATTCAATATTAGAGATTCAATGAAAATGTCAAATTGACAACACATTTTTTAAGATTCTAATGAATCAGCAAAAATAAATACACTTCAAAAATAGCTGGTATAAAAAAAAAAATCACATGTCTATATGAACCAGATTAATGTTGACACCTTCTAAATTGCGCTTTTCACTGAAATTTATGACATTTAAAAGCTGAGCTTTTAAGCTGAATTATGTTTCATTTAACTTAGGCTTTATCCTAAATTACTTTCAATATCTTTTAAACTTAGTCTGAACAGTGACCTATTTTCTCTCAAGTATGTCTTTAAATGTAGCATGCAAGAAGTTAATTTTACCACCAAGATTCAGTTATAGAGCAAATCAGAGAAAATTACTAGAATTAAAATATTTACACAATAAGAAAAAACACATGAACTTAAAAATGGACAATCTTGCAACGTGTAACGTCCTGTAAAAATATTTAATGAAATCTCAATTAAAATACAATATTGTTGACATATTCCAAGCTTAATTAGATAGTAAACATAAATACGCAGCAATAAGAGTTATTTTTAGGCAACTTCATGCAGCATATTAACTTGGAGAAAAACTGTTAATTTTGATATAGGATACACAGAATAATTAGACGTTTTATACTTTTTCTTCTTCTAATCCATGCTTAAAGAAAATCATGATGGGTGTTTCGTCTCCACCTGGTTTCTCACGGTACTCCAATAAGGCAATGAGACCATCAGGATTCGAACTTTCTCCCATAAAGAATTGATAATCACCGATCTTAGGAAGAATTTTCTTAACGGCTGTGGTAAATTTGGCTTTAGCATCAGCGATCTGGTCATCTGACATTTCATTCTCCTTCCACTTGTCTTGAAGGGTCTTGGTGTAGAGCTTTAAGTAGGATTTAAAATCATTTTTGGTGAAGCCAGTTTCTACAAGACGTTGATTTAAAACTAAATCGAGACCTGATTCGACGCTCTCGTCGGTACCTTCATCAGTTTCTTCTTGAGATGGATTAGCACCATCTAATTGAATATCACCCTGCTTTCTTGAAACGTGTCGACACTCGACCTCGTAGATACAATCATCTACGACTTTATACTTCGATGAATCGGTAAACATTTCATCTCCAGTGATTAAATCCTTAAAGATAATCATGTTGAACAATAATTTGTTGAATTATCCACAAATAATTTATAATTTAATTAAAAGTGCCACACCGCTAACACTAACAGGTATGGAAAGGAGGCGCGTGCACGCTGCAAAAGACTGATATAGTGATGAATTGATAGTGACTACGTCATCGGTTAATTTATGCAATTGATAATTTTTCCATCGTGATAACTTTTAGAGTTACAAAAAACTGAAAAATAAGCTATATTTTTGTGTAAAAATATTTTTAAATTATTTTGATTCAAAATCTTGAAAATTAGAAAAATGTTTACAGTTATTTTTTTCTTTTTGCAATTGATAATCTATAAGCTAAGCCTTTTATCATTTAACCTATAAAAGATGAAGTGAATTCAACAAATATTGATACCCGTTGATTTAAAAAAGTAGTGCAAAAATACGCATCTGAACCAATCCAACTGTTGAGTTCAATCCTTTCAGTGGTTACTCAGAGCTAGCTTAACATTTTACGAACCATCAAAAGCTCGAACTTTTAACGGACCACCTCTATGCATTATATTTTAAAAATACCAATTGTGGAAGTGATTTTTTAGTAGAAACCATTTTGTATTTGTGTCCGATTTACTTTGTCGAAAATATTATTTCCTTTTCTTTCCAAAGTATAAAAAAATGACTCAATATTTACCCCCAAATTTACTAGCATTGTTTGCTGCTCGAGAACCAATTCCTTACTTGCCTCCAGTTGATAAGTTACCGTATGAAAAGAGGACCGCAGGGTATTCAGGAATAGCTGCGTTCGTTAATAATTTTGAAGTAAGAATTTAAAATTCTTTATTGTTGCTTAGCTCTTAATTTATGTAAAAAATTGCTGTGTTATTGTGATTGTCTTAAAAACTAAAATATCAAGTTCTTGTGCTGTATTGTGTATAAACAATATTAAAGCTATCATTGTTTTGTAATTTATCTTTAGCTTCGTTTAAAAATTGCAGGAATTATAAATTTATAATAAGTGTTGCTAATTATTAAACTACGTATTTTATGTATGTTTCCAGGGGTCTGTCCAAGCCAAATTTACTACCGTTTAGCGTAGGGGTGCACAACCTGCGGCCCGCGGGCCAAATGCGGCCCTTCGACTACTGAAGTGCGGCCCGCGAGAGCTTCTAAACACAATAAAAAAAGTTTAAAAAATGGCAATTTTTAATCGCACTTTTAAGTCATCACGTTTTGACACAATCAATTTTAACAGATTCTTTAGTAAATGTACGTTTAACGCGCTTTCTTTAAGCCGATTTTATCGTAAATATAAATGATTTTTTTTAAACAGTTATTTCCGCTTTTCTACGTGATTTCGAAAATCCCGAATTTTTATTACGACGCGAGTTTCAGATCGCAAATTTAAATAATCACTTTTTGTGCACTTTATTTGTGACGATTTCATCTTAAATCTAAGTGATTTTTTATCTTTTTTTTGCAATTCTTTCTTTTTTTTCAAAAATTTTTTTCGGCAGTTATTGCTATGCGTTCCCACGTATTATAAAAAATTCCAATTATTCTATTACGACATGCAAATTTTAAATCATGCATTTGACACGCTTTATTCGTGCTGAGTTCAGCATAAATATATTTTTTCCCAATTATTTCTATACTTTTCCACATGATTTTGACGATCCCGTTATTTAACTATGATGTTATTACGACACGTGATTGTTAATCGCGCAATTAAATAATCACTTTTTGATACGGTATTTCGGTGCAGTTTTATCGTAAATCCTTGTTATTTTTCCTTCGTTTTTTTTTCCGCAACGAATATGATTTGGTCGAATGTGGTAATGAATTGTGATTTGGTCAAAAACCAAATATTCGTTTAAAAAAAAGAACAGGGTTGCCACTCCACAGGGAAAACCTGGAAAATACAGGGAATTTAAAAATCACCTAAAATAACAGGGAAAATGCAGGGAATTTATTAATTTTATTAGCAACTTTATTTTTTAAAAAAAGGCTGAGTCATAATAAAAATGCCTAAAAAGGAAAAACAGAAAAAACAAATTTCTTTAGTTCCAAAAACAAAACTTTAATACTGAAAATCACACTTTTCTATGTTACTGGTTATTTATATTACAGTAGAGGGAAAGAGTGATAATAAATTAATAGTATGAGAAGTTCTGTTGAAATGCTGGGTTATAATAAAAACAGCAAAAAATGGGGAAAAAATCCTTCTCGATTCTCAAAGTATCGAAAAAATGACAAAATTGACTTGTCTGATTATAATTTTAAAAAAAAAGTAATATCTATAAAAATTCAAAAATAAAAAGAACTTAGAAAAATACATTTCTAAAAAATATTCTGCTGAATATTTGACTGATCATTCAACCAATTGCAACTTGAGAAATTCATAAAATGGCGGAAAACTTGAATTTTTAAACTGCTCACTGTTTGTAGTTAAGATTTCAATTTTTATTGCTAAAGTGATCTTTTTCCATAAAAAAATTTTTTTACGATATAAAAAAAATCTAATAAATAATAAAATGAAATAATAAAGTATATTACAAAATAAGCATTGAATTTTATTTTCCTATACTATCACAGTTTTTTTTTTTTTTTTTAGGCTTTTGTTAAAAACCTATAAATTTTCTTCAATTAAAATATTTAATTTGAATTTATATTACTTGATTATGACAAAATTTTTTCCTACTTTCATTCTGTGGGCATTGCAGTTTTTTTTTTATTTATTAGAATTTACGAGGCGTATCCAGAAAGTAAGTTTCCCTATTTTTTAAGAAAAAAGAACTCATACTTTCAGGAACATATTTTTGGCCAATAAGTACAGCAATGTTTCAGCTATTTTTCAACACAGCAACATAGAATTGAGACACTTGTCGTATCATGGGTTCAACTTTTGTATCCCTCTGTCGTAGAACTCTGCCGCCTGTGAATGGAACCACGTTGTGAAACAGTAAGCGCCAACCGTTACTGTGAAACACTGCGGAAATTTCGACGTGCCATTCGAAACAAGAGGTGTGGAATGCTTACTGCAGGTGTTGTGCTCCTCCATGACAATGCTCTTTCACATACAGCTCGACGCACAGCAGCTGTTTTGACGAAATTTGGCTCGGAGTTGTTTGATCATCCACCCTACAGCCCTGATCTTGCTCCCAGCGATTTTCATGTTTTCTTGCACCTCAAGAAATTCCTGTCCTCCGGTGAGCGTTTCGGCAACGACGAAGAGTTGTCTACGACAGAGGAATACAAAAATTGATCCCACGATACGACAAGTGTCTCAATTCTGGTGGTGGCTATGTTGGAAAATAGCTGAGACATTGCTGTACTTGTTGCCAATAAATATGTTCCTGAAAGTATGAGTCCTTTTTTTTTAAAAAAAAATAGGGAAACTTACTTTTTGGATGCGCCCCGTAATTCTAAAATGAATTTTCGTATTGCATGATATGATTAAAAAAAAAAAAACATTTCTTTTCTTCAAAGTTTATTTATTTTGATAAATCTATTGTTCATATGATAAAAATAGCAATTTTTTTTTGTAAAAAAAAAAGAATAAGTTTCTTTATTTTTGAATGAATTCTAAAAATGAACACCTTTAATTTTTTACAAATATATTACAAAGTTTATTGATAAAAAAATAGAACGCTAATGTTAAATAAACATTACTACATTTGTCATTAACATGTCTCAATACATGTGCGGCCCTTCGTTAGCCAACCTGCTGTGCAAGTGGCCCTTCACTCAAAAAGGTTGTGCTCCCCTAGTTTAGCGGTACCTTCATAAACTCAACTTTAGAAAAAACGGTAGTTTCATAAAATACTTTTTCTTAAAATTTTAATTTTGAGGAAACTATAAATCCATATTTTTACCATTATTTTGTGTTGTTTTTTAATATAATTTTTACAAATTATGTCTAAATTTTCGCAAAATAGGTACCTTTCAGAAAAACCTAGACAGACCTCTGGTTTCGATGAAGTTTAAAAAAATAGAAGAGACATAAACACAAAATTTTTCTGCGGAAATTTTTTTGTGTAATAATAAAAGAAACGGTGGAAATTCCCGTATTTTGAGCAGCAGGTCAATCTAGAGATGCCAACTGATCCGCTCTCAGTAAAACTTCTAATTATTTAGTAGCGAATTAAATAGAAAAATTTGTAGAATAGGGATAATTGGGAAGACTTCTGTATCGTGATCTGCGGCAGAATAATCGCCAGGGCGTGGAAACTTCCGGGCAGTGACCCTGCAAGAAATTTAAAAAAAAAAAAAAAAAAATCATTGAAAGGGTCTAACTTGAAAGGAATGACTCATACCCACCCCCGGGCAACCATCTGCATATTTTTTTTTTTTTTTTTAAGTAAAATTTGCAAGTTTAAAATCGATTGTAGTTGGCGCGACAGATCACAATACGGAAATATCCCCGAATAATTGCGCCCACACTTTAAAAGTGGGTGAGATGTCTCACTTTACATATTTTGAATTTTTGATTTGTAGTGGTGGAAAAAAATAACTTAAAATGAAAAATACGAAGCATGACTTAAATTTCGTTACTACCAAGAAATACTTTCTTACAAAGCAGTGAAAGTTTGCATCGCTCTCAATCTGATAGTGCTTGATATAATTTTTATTTTCGACTGTATTAATTTTTCACCAAACTTATCCTTATGGCGTGAATCAAAATAAAGTTCCATAAAGATTGAAAATTTTTAAGATTCGTGATTTCAAACAAATTTTGCCTAAATGCGATGGTGACAAAAGGGTTGAAACTAGTTACGAGAGTTAATCAATACACAGATAAAGTTTTTTAAACAAGGTTTTGTGTTCATGGAGAGTTTTTCATTTTATCTAAGTACCAATTTATTAATTACTGTGAATAATAGGGGTAATTTCTCCGTAAGCAAATTTTCATTGAAAAGTTTAAAAAAATTAACATTTTGACTCTCATCTCATATTTGAGTCATCAATTTTTGATGCACTCAATTTCCATAGATTTTATTGTAAATCTATGTAGTTCGTTGGTCGCTTCTTCTGTGGTAATTGCTTTCAAGTTCCGCCTGATTTTTAAAAAATTCTATATTCTTAATATGATATTAGAATACACCAATTTCAAAGTTAGGTCATCACTTTTTGACTTACTTTATATTTGCAGATTTTGTTATAAGCCCAATTATTATTCGATCCTCTTTTATAGTTTTTTTTCTTCTGTTATATCTACTAATTTCCTTGTAGTTTTTAAAATCCTGATACATTGAATACAATGTTGTGACTTGTGAGCTATAAATCGCGTATTTAATTAATCACTTTTGGACCTTTTTATTTGCTTTGATTTCATCATAAATCTAAATGATTTTCAGTTTTTAGTTATTATGTTTAGTAGAAAGTTATTGGTATGCTTTTCCACATGATTTTAGAGATCCAGTATTTTTATCAAGGGATTGTTACTATACACAAGTTTTGAGCAGCACATTAAATAATCACTTTTTGACACATGCTGTTTTTGTCTATTTCATTATAAATATAATTTACTTTTCAATCATTTTTTAGGCAGTTATTGTTCAACATTCTCATGTGGTTTTAAGAATTAAAGTTTGTATTACAATGTGTGAATTTTAAATAACGTGTTTAAATTATTACTTATTTCCCTACTACTTTATATTTGTTGATTTCATCTTGATTTTAACATTGCAACATAGAAAATGGAAGAAAGCTGGAATTTTTAGGCTGCTTACAGTTTATAATTTAACTTTAAATTTTTGTAGCATAGGTGGCTTTCTTAAGTAAAAGCAAAAAAGAAGAAAAAAGCAATTTCCTATTTAAAATTTATGAAACCTCTAATAATTCAAGAAACAGAAATTATATTTAAATACCAAATAGTATAATACCTAATAAATATTAAGTCCTTTTCTCGTTTTTGTTTTTAACTATAATTGTTTTGTTTTAATTTTTGTTTAAACCATATAAATTTTCTTTAAAATATGTACTTATTTTTTAATATTTTCATTCTGCGAACCTTGCCGTTTTTCTTTTTGTGAGAATTTATTTTAAAATGAACTTTTGTGATACTTATGGTAAAGAACAGTTCTTTTCAACCGCTGTATATATATATATATATATATATATATATATAGTTAG